ACTGATCGGAATCTGAAGAAACATGACATGTAAAGAACGAGAAAAAGTAGCTGACAGTTGATATATCGATCGATACAAGATTGCAAATGTAATGATCTCAACACAACACAAATCAAAACATTAAGATATATATATTCACTTAAAACAAGTCGAAAAGCAAACCGACTAAACAGAAAACACGCATACGATTTGGCTAATTAAGAGTCTTGGCCAAAAGATTACAACACACGAGCCGAGAGTTTATACTTTATACTAATATATCTCTCAACTTTTTATTTAGAACCGAAAACGCACACAAAGTTACGAAAATAGCTAAAATGCTTAATATTAGTTAAGTCACCAAACGGCGGAAGACAAAAGTAAGCTGTCTTTCAACTATAACCGTATGATATATTCGTTTTTCCATCTCCCATATTCGAAAAAAGCAGGAGAATAAACTGCTGCTCTTGATCTACACACATATATATATCTTCCTGCGAGAAAATGAAGAGAAAAAACGAATTACAACACTTGATAAAGAAGAATTATTATACACTCAAATTTAAAAAAACAAAAGCATCACGACGAAAATATAATGCTGTGATACTAAATAGGCCCATGCTCTCGACTGTGATTTCAGCAGATATTAAAGACAAAAAACGACGAAAAAAAAAATTAAAAAAAAAAAGATAAGAAAGTATTCATCTATTGCACTTAAATCGACCCATGCTTTCGGCTCATGGGAAGATCATAGTAGATATAAGACCATTCACTGCCTGACAAACTACATTTATTTCTTGCACATTCTATTAAAAAAAAGGATAATGTCTGTTAAAAGAAACTGTTAGGATAAATGTCCATAGTGAATTTATTAAGATGAACAAAGCTTTAAAATGGCACAAAGAAAATGTAAAGTTTCAGGAAGAAAGAAAAAAAAATTACCTAGATAAGTACTATATGTAAATTACACGCCACGGTCATCTTCTAATAGTAAAGAGATCCTGCCATAAACGGAAAAAAGAAAAAAAAGTCAATACAAAGTAGAGAAAACAAAAAAAACCCGTAAAATCGAACGAAATTTTTCTGTAAGCAATAGAACAATATATATACCCTGCCACCAATTGCCTCGTGAAGCAGTGCCCGGGTCATCTTCTCCTCCATCCTTGTTGAACTAATGAAAATAGATAAAAAATAAAAGCACATTTTTTAAATAACAAGTTCTGATCAGTGTTTAGCACTAATAATCCCACTTAAAAGGGAGTATTTAAGAATTCACTTACGGTGCTAAACACCGGGGTTTTTGCAGGCTCGGGAGGTGGATGATAGATATCTTGGCCACCATAGTAAATCGACGAGCTGTAATGAAAAGGCGGCGTTTTTTCATCGAGAAAATGCGAGTTAATCGAGGATTTGCTAGCTTGGCCTTCACCAACTACAGCATTGCTATNGCTTTCTTATAAAACCAAGAAAATAAGATCCTTAGTGAAATTCATCCTCATGTTTTAGTTCACCAACAAATGCACTTATATATCAACAAAACACAAGTTCTCATAGAATGCACCGTAAATCGAGTACTATGAATCTTTATTGTGGATAAGACGTAGTTTTAGAAAATTTCCAAGATCATAAAGAACATGGTTAGTACACAATTGGCCTGCAGTGCAAGAAGAGTGTTTTCCGTAAAAGGATAATAGAACTTTTAGCTATATTGTACATCACAAAAGATTATTATTATTATTACTTCCGATTCTAGAAGCATAAATTCGAAAAACCGAGCATTCACGATAAAACCAAATCAAGAATATGGGTGTAATGATTTGAATTTACCATTTTTCGCATTCCAAGCTGGATTCGCAGTGCCTTTCTCGGTTTCGGATGGATTTTCGCGTCTGTAAACCTAACAAAAAAATAAAAAATGATACGAAAACAACAATATATCATGAACAACACCACAATATGTACTATAAGTAAAACACTAACAGGCTGATTCATGATACTTGTTTAACAAAACAATAACTGCAACAAAAAACCCAAATAAAAAAAATTAGAACATCAAATTTTGATCACAAGAAGCTAAACCTTTTACCTCATGTACAAAAAACAAAAACAAAAACAAACCCATCAAAAGAATCACATGCAAACAACATAAAATCAAAAGCCCATGCTACTATAAAACCCAAATAAAAATGTTAAAACATCAAATTTTTATCTCAAAAAAACTAAATCTTTCACCTCATGGTCAAAAAGATCCCAACTTTTATACTGCAAAACAACACCAAACATTCCAAATAAAACCTCAAACCCTCCCCAAAACATACAGAAAAACAAACCCATCAAAAGAATCACATGCAAACAACATAAAATCAAAAGCCCATGCTACCATAAAAACCCACAACATGTCTCTCACACCACATAAACACCAAAAAACCCATAAATCCCATCAAAACCACACGAATACATAAAAGGGCCAACAAAACAGTGAGGCGCAGATAAAAAATAACAACAATAAGGCATAAAGGCGGCGCCTTTATTTACCTTATTAGGAGGATTCCCAAAAATGGAGCCCAAAATCTCAGAAGTAGAACCAGTTGGGGGAGAATCTTTCTCCCCAAAAAGATCAGTCGCGAGTGATTTCTTCTTTCTTCCCTCCATTTCTCTCTCTCGAAATCTCTCTAAATCTCTCTCTTGCTCTGTTTTTCTTTTTTCTTGTTGTTTTTGTGGGCTTCACAAAGAGACGGCCCTCGCAATATATACTGCGCCCACCGTCAAGAAAACGTAACTGCCGAGAATCTTTTTACCCACAAAGAAACACAAACCCCAGAATTAAAATTAATTAAAAATAATAAGAAAAAGCGAAATCGAAAAGAAATAAAAAAAAAATTAAAAGAGGAGAATAAATAATTTTGGAAAAAACAGGGCAAGGCACGTGAAGAATCTGTTAATGTATAATATTGTGTGAATAAAAATATAAAATAGTGTGCGAGACAAAAAGGGCTGTATTAGGAAGAAAAGGGGGAGAAAATAAATCAGAAACAGAAAGGGGAAAATTGTAGGTTAGGGTAAGATTTTTCCGAAAAAAATTATCACGTTTAAAAATTTAAGGTGTTAAAGTGGGAAAAGAAATATTTTTACAAAGAGTGAGTTAAGTTTGAAATTGGGAATATATATGAGACAAAAACGTAATAACTAAATTTTTGTGTGATGTGAATATAATAACACAATTTTTTTGTGTGAGTCAACTCAATTGGTTGGTGGATTGACCCACTGAACTTAACAAAATGCATAGTTATTATAATAACTCTCTTTAGTTGTTTGGTAAAAGATGTTATTACAGTTGGCTTAATGGTTAAATCCGTCTAATACAAGACCAACTCAAATAGTAAGTATTAATTCACAATATTAGTAGTTATAAATTTGTGAGAGTATTTATAACTTTTTTACTAGAAAATATGTACTAATTATTATTTTTTATTTTTAATCGTGTTCCTTAATTTTGTAGAGAAAAATTGTGATAATATGAGTAGTGTTTTCTTTGNTGTATCCAATCCGACATTTATTAATAATATCTTAATATAATCGCCATGGATGGAAGATTTAGGGGAATATATTATGTTATATGCATCTTATCTTATGTGTCTCTCTCTATCACAGTAGTAATAGTTATTGTTTGTGTTTTTATCATATTTTATTAGTCATTTATATTTCAGTTTTTCATGTGTTGATATATTGTTTAATGTTTATATTTATTGTATTCATTTATTGTTATTTCGGTTTTCCTGTTTCGATTTGGTTTTTTCAGTTTCAGTTAATGGCGTTATTGTTGCTCCCCAAACAGAGTCCTAAGCCAACTGTGTGAAATAATAAAATAAGGCCAACGTTTTACCGCCACGAATAACTTATGGATAATAACGATCTTTATATAAAATAAATCATTTATTCATTAAATTTAAATAAATCATTTATTCATTAAATTTCCTTGAGCTATCGCTTTCATTAAAACCCTATTTTGGACTTTTTGTCCCATCTGCTCAAGTAATTAGGGGTTCATTAAAAGTAATTAGGGGTTCATTTAAATTTATTGTTGGTTGAACTTAAATATTTTTTAGTGTGCTATCATTATTTTTTTATATTATAAAACTATATAATGAAAAATATCGATTTCAAATTAAGTATTCGTTAATTACATAAAACATCAACCTGCTAAAGGTTTTATCCCCTAATTAACGGATCAAATTTTTTGTTCCATTAAAACACTTATTTTATTTCGTTGGATAATTAACACTTATGTAAATATGACTATAATTATATAATATGATTCGTTCAATGGAATAAAACATGAGATGGAATAGAGTCCATAAATACAATCTTTCTAATGTTTTGTTTAGCTTCAAAAGCTTCGAATTTTCGCTTACAAATTCGTGCTACTTAGCCCAATGTGTCAAAGGTGTAGAATATCATATTAAGTTACAAGTGTGTTTAATAAGTACAACATATATGATAAGTTACACTTTTATCGTGTCAGCGTATGAGTATATTAAGGTACGAGTATGTTTGTTAAGTATCATATACTAACTTATAGCTTATATCTTTTTTTTTTTTATAATCAATTTATAGTAACCAAATAAGTCTTGTTTGAAAAGATAGAATTTATTTAAAAATTCAAGCTAAATAAGTCGTTTAGTAAGATACATTTTTTTAAAAGCACGAGATTATCTCAAATAGTTATAGAGACTTTGTTTCAGAAAACCTTTTAAGATTTTTGTTCATAAGTTAATTTGTCAAATACTATTATTATATTGATGTGTTTAGCATTTATTAAATCAAAATTAGCTTACAAACTATAAATTAATTTTTTAGTCAATTCTACAAACATACTTTATCATTAGGTTAGGGTATGAAATATATCAATATATCATATATCACGGGTATGTTTGGTAAATANTATTCAGCTGCAATAAACAATTATATTAAACAAATATGTTTTTCCTTTGGGAAATTGGAAAAGATCCATTGGGCATACAAATTACAATCTAAGCCAAGCTAAATTTGGCAAATTTGCAGAATTCTATTTACATTTAAAGATTTTGGTTGACCTGATTTATACCTTATCCCAACCTTCCCACAATAAATAAATAAAATATCAAATTTCAAAGATTTGATGAATCACAAACACCTTTTGACCAATACTCCCAATAAAGTTCACCGACTTTTTTTTGGATGCTATCAATTGGATTATCAACTTGCTAATTTTCAAAGGAATCTAAACTGAAAGAAGAATCTCGAACAAATTCATCAAGATATATTTGAATGTGAGGTGTTTGTTCTTTGATTTTATTCAAGGAATCTTTTTATCTATCAAGATTGCAAATTGCATGGGATACAAGAGATTTATTGTACAATTAGTTTGAGATATGTTCAGATTTGTTTTTGCCAACTCCAAAGTTATGGAAACACTGGTTAGATAATAGATTCCTTAAACTTTGGGGTCTGAAAGGTTTGAATGTTGACTTGATGGGATGTACCAAACCAGGAAAAAAGGAACAAATCAGGAATAATTCGGAGGTTCTTTTAATCAAATCTGTCGTTTAAATCTTATTATAATAGTACTAATTGTTAATTAGATTTACATCAAGACAGGAGCCAACCGTTGGCTCCATAGCAGTTCCATACATCAAAGAATTTTATTGCTTTAAAAAATCTCTAAAGCTACAAACTAGGGTTTTATAAATTTGTTTACCCGAAACGAACTGTTCGGTAATATCAATTGAAATAATTACCGTTGAAATTCTGTTGAATTTATATAATTTTTTTTGTAGTGCTCCTTGAGATCGCTTAGGTAATGAGACGAGATTGGTTTTGCTCGATAAGACTCAAAAATAATTTTTATGTAGTTCGATTCGCTATAACTCAAGTTCAACTCGTTAAGGCTTGAGCTCAGCTCGTCAATCTTGATAAATGAGTCAAGGTTGAGCTCGATTATTGTCTCGTTAAGGGCTTAAAGTTTGGTTCGATTCGTTTAGATCTCTAGGGTTTTGTTACCCAAAATTTTTTATGCTTATGTAACTTTCGTACGTTTAATATTAACTATTTTATAGTAGAATGGTTAAAAAATCATGATTATTGCTTATTTGATGTGAAATGTAACAGTTTAATATTATAATTAACCTAAAAAAGCAGAAAACGATGGAAAATTTGTAATTAATTAAATTAGTTTACGATGGAAAATTTGTAATTAATTATTTTTTCCGACAATCATATATATAGATATAGATTTGTGCACGTATTCTACTATTGAATTAATGTGTATGTATTTACTTACTGCTTTATATCATGGGCCCGATTCCATTCAATTATATCTATTAATTATGATTATGCGGTTAAATTTTAACAAAACTTACACTTACACTTTTATGTTTCTTAACAAAATTATAAAACTCACTAATTTTTTTTTAATTGCAAATCTTAATCTTAATCTGACAGAGCGAAATGTAATTTTTTTTAAAAAAAAATAACTGTAATAATTTTCTGAAGGGCAAAGACTGAATAAGGGTCAAAGCACTGACCTTATCTTTTTATCCTGTCGGAAAAAACAAACAGGTTGAGTATTGTTCACTCTCTATCAGGTCAGCCCATAAAATCCATCAGAAATTATTTAAAAAAATATAAAAAAATTTAATATTAACAAGACTTCTATAAGAAGTGGGTCACATGCATTATTTGAACTGAAATTTTGTGCTTATCTTCATTTTATCTATTATTCCGTTAATTCCTATATATCTTACTTTTTTATTTGAAGACCCACTCATTAAAGTATTGTAATATCCTCACATATCTCCTTTTTTAAGATATAGATGTGATTCAATAAATTGTGGTATATAGTTTATAACCATTTGTGATGTGATGATTATATGTCTCTTATTAAATTACTAGTTGTTGAGACTAGTTTTAACTAACTAATAAAATAACAAAAAAAAGTTAATTTTTGTGAGAGGCGGTCTGATGGTAAAGTGAGTCAAGTTACATACTCTTAGAATAAAAAATGATATTATTACTATGAAATGTCATAATAATTTTATTTAATTATAAAGTTTGTTAAAGTGTGATATTTAAATTTGATGTACATTTGTTTAATAAAAAAATATGACTGCCTTATAAGAGTCTCAATGTAAAAGAATATATGTTCTTATGAGAAACAAAGAAGAATGTCCTCAACTATTTGGAGTAAATATTTTAATTTATTAAATTTATCATTTTAGTTTACTTGTATTATAATTCTATTTTGTTTCTCTCTTCATCAACTTTATCTATATTACATCCAAATCCAATGTATATAATACCCTCATATATAGGAAATTGAAATAACACTTTATTCTTTTCCCATGTTGTCATACAGTTGACTTGGGAAGAAAAAAAAAAAGAAATAAATAAACAAACAAAAACCTTATCCCAAATAAAGTATTTTTGGTTTGCACCATCAACCTCATTTATGACAATGGAGAAAGTTCTTGGTTTTGGGCACATACCTTGTGAAAGATTGGAGAATGAGAAGAAAATTTGAAGTACCAAATAGAGATTTGGATAAACATTGAAGAATCTCAACAATATTTTTTTTCAATTTTGTTATGGAGCCATCGGATGGCTCGACTTATGGAATCATCCATACTTATTCACCAATAGTGTATTGACACGTGTCCTGCAATAAATACAATTTAGACAGGTGTCAATACATAAGTGATGGATGGCTCCATAAGAAAACCATCGGATGGCCTTAAGTCAAGCTTAACTCAAGTCGAGCACTTCGTGTCCGAATTTATGATCATATAAATAGATGAGTCAAACTTACAGTTCAACTCGATTCATTTAATAAACCTAAAATTGCAATCGGATGGTTCTTTAAATAGTTTGTTCATTTGTGAACATGTTCAATTTTATTTGTTCGTCAAAAAATCAACTTGTATAAAAGAAATGAGGGGTTCCTGAATGCATTTGGCTCAACTAGTTTAATAAACGAGTTCTTAATTTTTGAGCTCAAATTTATTTATAATTAAATGAACAAGTGATCTCAAATTTTCACGAATCGAACAAAGTTGTGTTGACCAACAATTCAGTTAATATAAATCTCATTATTGCATTCCAAAGTTGGTGAAAAATATCACTGTCCAATCGTAAGAATTAGTAACACATTATTAACTGGTTAGCATTTCTTGAGGAAAACAAAATGATGAGGTCTTTGAGTTTGAACCTCAATTGTAATCGGTGCCTTGATAGACCAAAAGTCCTTCAAATTCAACGACTTTGTAAAGCATTTGGTTACGTTTGCACATATAGAGCTAAAAGCCAAGAAACACACAAAAATCCAATATTATGTTTTTTCATATTCATATGAATAATAGTACTATTAATTTATAACTAATAAGTTAGAAATGTGATGATTTCCAAGGCCACATAATCCGGAAATAATACACATTGAACATCAATTTGGTGTGATATTGAGAACCAAACATTTAATGAGCCGTGTCATATTAATTAACTATGCCTTTATTGAAAACATCTTCTATGTGGAAATCATTAATTTTCTCATTTTATTAATTTGCCATCATTTTATGTAGGAATATTTAATTTAACACAATTTTTTACCGTCGAGTCTACACAAACTCGTATAGGTCTGTATGACTGTAATCATTTTCTCATTTTGTTTGCCATCCTTACATAGGAACATTTCAATTTAGCTAATGCAGTTACTGGATTTTCATCGCTGAGACAAAAATAAAAAAAAAATAGTAGTAAATAGAGACAAAAATAAAAAAAAAAATTGACGTCTTCGGAAAATCATGGTTTCCAACACGACACTATCATTTGATGTGAATAACATATTTGTCTCACACTATCGTGTTTTGAAGCAAAATCGTATACATTTAAAATAACCATGAAAAATAGTAGTAAATAGAGGCAAAAATGAAAAAAATTTGACGTCTTCGGAAAAGCATGGTTTCGAACACAACACTATCATTTGATGTGAATAACATCTTTGTCTCGCACCATCGTGTTTTGAAGCAAAATCGTATACATTTAAAATAGCCATGGAAAATAGTAGTAAATAGAGGCAAAAATGAAAAAAATTCGATGTCTCCGGAAAAGCATGGTTCCGATCACGACACTATCATTTGATGTGAATCACATATTTGTCGCGCACCATCGTGTTTTGAAGCAAAATCGTAACATTTAAATAGCCATGGAAAATGGTAGTAAATAGAGGCAAAAATGAAAAAAAAAAAATCGACGTCTCCAGAAAAGCATGGTTTCGAACACGACATTATCATTTGAAGTGAATAACATACTTGTCGCGCACCATCGTGTTTTGAAGCAAAATCGTATACATTTAAAATAGCCATGGAAAATAGTAGTAAATAGAGGCAAAAATGAAAAAAATTTTGACGTCTCTGGAAAAGCATGGTTTCGAACACAACTCTATCATTTGATGTGAATAACATATTTGTTGTGCACCATCGTGTTTTGAAGCAAAATCGTATACATTTAAAATAGCCATGGAAAATAGTAGTAAATAGAGACACAAATGAGAAAATTTTCGACGTCTCCGGAAAAGTATGGTTTCGAACACGACACTATCATTTAATGTGAATAACATATTTATCGAGCACCATCGTGTTTTGAAGTTACTACACCTGCACTTTTCACGAAGCTCGCAGAAGTATCACAACAGGCAACAAACACATAGTACACTACCTAAGAACACAGCAATTACAAGCACATCAATCGCACGAATCAAAATTCAAAGTTCTCATGCATGATCTAAATTTCTCAACAGGTAAACACTTAGTTCCCATATCAGCGGGGTTAAACTCGGATGCAATTTTTTCAAGATTAACTAAGCCTTTAGAAACAATGTAACGTATGAAATGGAACCTAACGTCTATATGCTTAGTGCGATCATGAAAAATAGGATTTTTACACAATTGAATCCCCGATTGGCAACACAACATCTTTTTCAAGTATTTTATTACATTGGATGATTGACACGTATACAAATATGACATCATCATTTACACGTGTCATTCATCCAATGGAATAGAACACGAAATAAAACATGAAAGTGGTGCATGAAATCTCATTCCGTTGTGTGAATATATGTATGTATGTGTTGATTCAACAATAAAAAATTTGGTGACCTCATGTTATGGCTAAATCCTACCCTTAGATATTAAACAATAGCGAATGTTAGATTTTATGGTATGGTTAAATCCTACCCTTAGATTTTGACTCAATAATTTTTTATACTACTTGACTCAAAATCGACTTTAATTTAATCCAAACTAACTCTCTTCAATATTATCGATGTAGTTAAATAATATCTATCAATCATTTTTACACATCATATCAACTTTAATTGACTATTCATCCATTCACACATTTCTAACTACCTATCATTTTCAATAAATTTTTTCCTACTTTTACATCACATCAACTTTAATGGGGGAAAACGGGTGCGGTCCCACGCAGATGAAGCGCACAAACAGAGAAAGCCCATATGAAGCCCATGTGAGTTTCATCCCAAAACCAATTGGTGGGAGGAGGAGTGACTCATTAGACTTATAAATTCTGATTTATTTTTTCTATATAAACGATATGTGACAACTTACAATAAATATTTTAATAAAAATTATTTAACCAACAAATCCAATCAAAACTTGTTTTATTTATATCCACTCGCACCCATTCTGGACAATACCTATCAAGAGAGGTGAACCAATTCATAACAAAATTATTACTTTAATAATAAAATTCATGGATGACTGTTATATCATTTATGATTGATTGTGGATGGCCCGCGAAAGTATTTTTCAAGACACGTGTAGTACATTATTTTTAAATAATTATGGATGAAATCATAAGCTACACATAATCGTACCCTCAATTTGTCAATTTCTGGATTATTTTCTGTGACTGTTGTTTTGTCCACATATACAAACCGCTTCAACTTTGGCCTTTTATTATCAGTCATTTGTTTGGTTAAAAGGTTTTTCCTTATCAATACAGATTATGTGTGCCCCCCATTAATTTCAGAAGTCACAAAGGGACACAACTATGAAGAGTCCCTATCCAAATTAATCATATCCTCATTTTAGTAAACATATATTTCTTAAGAGATGATCATTAGTTAAGATCTTATTTTAATTTATAATTTTTTAATCAACCAGAAACAAGTATTATTGGACATATCATTATGAGATGGGACATGTTAATTACTTAATGTCACAGGATAAAATAGACATGTTTTTTTTTTTTTTTTCCAAAACGATAGAGGATATTATATAACAAAAGCGCACAAATGTGCAAATACAAGCAGCCCAAGGCTGAAAAGTGGAAGGACAGGTCATGATACCGCCTAGAAACCCGGCTAGCAAGTGCTAGAACAGAAACTCAAAACTAAAACAACTAGACACGACCCCCAAGGGGTAATACAACAAAACAACTCAAACAACAAAACAACAACACACGACCCCCACAGGGTAATATCCGAGTGTCGGACCCCCACAGGGTAATAAATTTGACACCCGGATGCACTGAGGCCAACGGCCCAAACCTAAAACATAAACACAAATACAAAACAAACACAAACAAGACAAACACAGACACCTAATTACTACACCCTCCCCCGAAGAAAGACGATCCCGAACGAGCAGCAACCGGATCACAGCTCGGCCCCTAGCCAAGGAACAACTCCCGAAACTGCAATTAAGCCTATACAGAAACCGAACTCCCGCCCCCGAACCAAACCACGAGGCGATCTGCCGCCAACCGAGGGTACAGGCAGTTGAGCCACCCCTAACCGGCACACCCCAAGCGCACCTGCCACCACTAGGCTACTCGGGGGCGTCGGACTCCGACCAAGCCGCAGCAGAGCCAAAGAAAAGGGGCAGCTCGCAGCCACATACCCTACTCCTGCAGCACCATCACAGGCCACCGGAGCCCCACCCCATCCATTGACCACCGCCATCCCAACGCCACCGCATCGGAGGATATCCCCACACCAGGACTTCGGCAGAGACGCTCCCTGCAAAAGACCGAGGGGAGGCATCAAGGCACCAACCGCCGAGGACGAGAGACCACCTCCCCCAACCAGAGTCCGCCACCTACACCAGGAACCTGCAAGCCACCGGGCTCCACTCGAGGGAGAAAGAACGGGAATCCCACCCACCAACCGTCTTGAGCCAATCCGCCGAATCCACCAAACACAGCCAGAGAAGAGAGAGACCGGTATCAGGGACAAGCCAGGCAGTCGCGGCGACCGTCGGCCCGGCCTCGCCGACGCCGGAGGAGGTGAAGCGATCGAGATTTAAGCGGCGAGAGTTAGGGTAAATTTGGGGGAGAAAATCGCAGGAGAGAGAAACTCCTCCAACATAAAATAGACATATCATTAGATATTTTTTGTTCAGTTATTGTCTGGGTAGCCTCTTATTTCTGCTGGGTTTTTGTCCCAAAAATCACAAATATTCGGTTCTAAGGAAAAAAGACAACTTAATTTTATTTTCTTTTTCCTACTTTTTATATGTGCATATTAATTATGATGCACCAATCTTATAAAAAATGTGAATTCAATATTCATTTTGATATTGTTATTTTTATCGTACAAATTGTTTGAGTTATGGAATCTGTCTTGGTGGACCCGTAACTAGAGTAATCACATAGAACGAGTCGCTTGTAATCTTAACTTAACTAGTTAGATAATAAATCTAACTCCAGCTCGAGCTCAGTTTAATCAACGAGCTAGCAAGCTGATAAAATTCGAGCTCAAACTCGGCCCAACTTGTTTACACCTTTTGGATTGTGCCAAATTGTTCTTCTTTAGGTTTGTGGCCCAAACTTAGCTAAACCAGTGCCTGGAAAACCCAACTTCCTAATTTTGGGTTTGAGCAGATAGAAATTTCTTTAATCATTTCTAGTGTTTAAACATTTCTTTTTTTAATGGTCTCTATATAAATTATCGAGATTAGTTTATGCATTCACCTACAAACCCATTTTCATTTGTGGTTTATTTTTATCATTGATTTCTAAACTGTATTTTTTTTAGTAATTTATGACTCGTTCATAAATAATTTATATTTAAATTTATTTTGAATGACATATATATAAAAAAAGAATCAAAAAATATTAGCAGACATGGAAAAGGACCAATTATCTAGAGACCGACTTGAACTTCTAATGAGGGTACACTTATTTAAGAGAGAACGATTATCAAGCATAAACTTGTTCACACATGATCACTAAAACGTGGTAAAAAAAAACCTCGAATTTGCCTATTCCAGTCATATACTTAGACAAGAATATCAAGAGTAAATTATTTTTCTTTTTCTCAAAATAACGAATCAAACATAACAAATCACGAACTTGGATAATAGACAAGAAGAGAAACATGATAAGCAATTGCATCCGTTACTCATCTCAAAGCTTAAATTCTTAACTGTTACTCCATTTATTTTATATATAACCATTTTGAGCGTTTGCCTTGAAGTTTTCAGAAGGAGAAACATGAGCCAAAGCAAAAGATTCNCACACAAGAAAAGAGAGATCCATGTACGATTTTTCCTTGCACACAACTATTCTTCGTCATATAAAATCCGAGCCATCGTGAAAATGCTGCAAGTCCGGGTGAGGCCCTCCACCTGGCCTTCGAGGGTTCCTATGAACAATTTAGACATTTAAATGAATAAAATTACATCAAGCGTATAAACATTGAATGAATAACACTACATCAAGAACATCGAAAGTTCAATGTACTTACTAAAGCGTATAAACATTGAATTGGATAACATTAGATCAAGAAAATCCAAAGTTCAAAGTACTTAATAAAGCAATGAATAACATTAGATCAATAAAATCGAAAGTTCAACGTACTTAATAATATACGTAACATGCATGAGAATCAACTAACTCTTTATGGCGAATTATTATATAGAAGTTACCTCGTGAATCTGCCTGGCTCAAACCCTGGCACGCCAGGCGGGCCATACGGATCAAAGCGGGCCCCAGGCGGTACACCCCTACAAAATAAAAAAAAAATAAAAAAAATTGAGAAATTAGATAGGAAAAGTTAAATATTAACATAATCATATGTTGACAAGGATAGACACTACCAAAAAAGAAATACCATATTCCAATGAAAATTCCAACAGTAATAGTATATCTTCCGTTTCAACGGGTTTTTTCATTGGAATTTTACGGCTTTTTTTCCAACTTGTAGGAATTTTTGTTGGAATATACAATTTCTGTTAGAATTTTTATTTCCACCGATAGAAAATCTACCATTAGAATCGTCGAAATCCAACGAGAACTTTTCAAATGAAAAACTCAATATTTTTGTTGGAATTTTCCGTTGGCATATATTCGAGAATTCTAACGGAAATATCAACATTGGAATATCAATAGAAGTTGACGTTGGAATTCCATTGAAATATGTTTCTGTTGGAATTTTCCATTATAATTTCATCATTTTCGATGAAGGAATCACTCACGGAGAATTTCCAGGAAATCCAAATCCACTGGTCCCACCTCCAAAAAATCTCGGATCATTAGGACCTGCAAGAAAACAGCACACGACTAGTTACAAAACTGGTTATATTCACGATTATTTTTTTGGCTCACACAACAGAGACACGATATACCGACCCACTAGCATGCTTCCACCTCCGAAATCTCCCCTGTAAAAATAATTCAAATTTCAGCAACTAAAGAATGAACAACAAAAAAGGAAAAAAAAAAAAAAAAAAAAAAGAATATTGAAATAGTTTATGTCGATAGTTAACAAAAGATGTTCTTCTTTACCTTCCGGAAGGATACATTCCAGCCCCAGGCCCAGGAAAGAGGTCACTGCCTCCAGCACCAGGTATTGGAGGAACTAAATATCTACATAAAACGTCAAGAAAACAGAAAATGCAAAGTTTTCAGAACTCTAACAGACAATAAATCTCAATACAGCTTTCCCAAGTTAAAATGCAGGGAAACTAAGTAACAAATAAGAAAACAGTGATTGAAAATTGAATCTACCATCTCGATTAATTGAAGAACATTATGTTTAAGAAGTGAGAAAAATATTTACCCCGGGTGTTGTGATGACATAAAAGGGTCATCAACTTCTATCCCGGGATTATCATATCTCGGTACTCTCTCGGAGCTGCAGATCAAACAGCCAAGCTTAACAGGACATAAATTTATAAAAAAAAAAAAAGCGGGCAAAACGAAAAGCAAACATCATCTTCCAATATTACAGAGTTATAACTATTCCGAGAGCTAAGATGTGACAAACAATGAATGCCACTCTGCAAAATCTCTATAAGTGCATTTTCATCAACCTAGAAACTCAACAATTGTCCCAAAACATTCGAAAGCCATAAATTTAAGACATGAGACTAACACTGTAACAATAAATGTCCTGAAAATTTTCACCTTGAAGGTGGATTTGAAGAAATCAAAGCTGTAACGCCGTTGATCTTATCCAATATTTCCTTATTTATATTGGTTACCAGCTTCCCCAAACTCTTGAACTGTGACCCGTAGTTCGCCCCACCATTATTTTGTACATATTCATCAACACTGCAAAAAAAAACCCATTCGAAAGTTAATCGAGCTTATCGACAAGCCATTAGGCCAAAAGCAAGAAGGTTATGACTTTTTTTTCCAGTATAACATCAACTGACATACTCAATTTCAAGATGCCATGGCTCCGAGCCACCTTCCTTCAAAACGTCAACAAGCAATTTATCGTTCATTGCAAGACACTTAACCAAAACCTTCTTGGAGCCCTTTTCCGGATTTGAGTAAACGAACGCATAGTTGTCCTCGACGTCGTTCCAATTTTCTATCCCAACTTCATCTAAACACAAAATCAAATCCAAACGCCGCCAATTAATTCACAAACTGAAACTACGAAAGGAGAGAATTTTCTTAAAAGGGGCAGCACGAATTAAACACGAATCGTTTCAATTCGTTGACAAAACGAAGCCTAGATCGATGAAAATTACCGGTGGCTGAGGAGGAGAGGGCTTCGTCGGCGAAGGCGGAAGGGCCGGTGGCGTGAAGGGCATAGCCGGCGGCGACAAAGGCGGCGTGCACGGCGAAGGCAACTTTGTCGAATTTGTGACGGAATGAAGGCCGCGCCGCCCGTAAGACGGCGAGTACCGACTGTTCGGTGGCCATGCTGTCAGACTCGTGTGTGTGTGTGTGTGTGTGTGTGTGTGTGTGTGTGTGTGTGGATTCGTCTCTTCAGCTCGCTTTTCTTCTCGAAGTTTAAGTCATGAACAAAAGCTGAATAATTTTTGTTATTTTAAAGTATAATTAGGCCCAGTTTGGGTGCTATAATTGGGCCTGATATCCTTTATTATGTTATTATTTTCGAATTAGTAAATTTTTGGTTTGTGGCCTGTAAGCCCTTTAAAGTATAAAATGAATTGCCCGATAGCTATAATAAACACAAAATTTGTTAAGAGAAAACTAGTGTGTACCCCGTGCGATTCACGGGAACAATATTAAATTAACAATATTATAAATAGACCTCGAGTTTGAGTCAATGGCGGAAGTGAAAACTATTATTGATCGTATTTAAAAAGAGGAAGAAAAAAAATAATTATAAATAAAAGAGGAGGATAAACAATACTTAATAATTATAAATTAAAGATTCGAGGTCAAACAATGTAAAATGATTTTGTATAAGAGAATATAAAAAAATTTGATTACACACCATTTCAAAATTATTATTATACTTTTTTGT